TGAGGATTCGAGGAGTCGTGGTAACCACATAAGACAAGGTAGCTTCCATTACCAGAGGGTGGGGGTGGTCTGAGGGCTTTGGCCCACAAACCTTCAGGAGGTGCTCCTGCACAGCTGGAGGCACAGCTGAGGGAGCTATCAGTGGCCACGGCTGCAGGGCCCCAGGCTGGTTCTCTGAGGCCCACAATGCACAGTGGACCAGTTGGCAGCACAGTCTAACCCATCACACCCGCTCTCCTCTGCTTCCTCTGTGCATCCCTGACACCACCTTATGCACATGTGAGCGACTCATCAGGTATGCCGCCCAGCCCTTGCTCGGGGGGGGAGCATGTGGCTGGCCCTGGGGATTAACATGCCTGCTCTCTGAAATGGGTTCCCAAACCACGGGAACTCAGAATGTCCAGGCCCTCCACCTGCACATCCACGTCATGCTGGCACCTTGCTGTCCCCAGCCACTCCCTCTCGCAGGGCCGTGCAGAGGGGCCCTGAGGATTCTGCCTCACAGTTAGGGCTGCAGACAAAATACAGAACACCTAGTTAAATTTGAACTTCAGGAAAACAACACGGGCCGGCCCCATGGCCAAGTGGTTAAGTTCGCACACTCCGCTTCGGCAGCCCAGGGTTTCACTGGTTCGGATCCTGGGCATGGACATGGCACTGATCATCAGGCCACATAGCACAACCAGAAGGACCCACAGCTAAAAATATACAACTATACTGGGGGGCTTTGGGGAACAAAAAGAGGAAGATTGGCAACAGATTTTAGCTCATGGTGAATCTTCCTCAGCAAGAAAAAAAAAATAAAGAACTCCCCAGTCAAGAGCAAGCACCAGACTCTCCACTCCAACACACTGCACCTGCAGGGGACACCTGTCAACCTCTCCCGAGGACTCTCTCGTCACATTCTCTCTGGCAGCAGCAGTAGGATGACCTGGCCAGGTCCACAGCTTAGCAAGCATCCGGCTGGGGATGAGAGGTTGGTCTCTGCCTCCTGCAGCCCCTCCCAAACTCTGGGGGTTCTCCTAGGGTACCATCCCCCTCTTGGCTTGGTGAGGGGCAGGGGGCAAAGGCTCTCACTGCAGACCTCGTCTTCCTGGTAAGTCTGAGGATGCTGACAACGTCCTGCCTCTGTCTGGAGAGAGAGAGAGGCCAGGTGCAGGGCAGCTGGAACAGCCCCACTCAGCGGGAGACCAGAGGTGCTTGTCAAAAGGTATGTGACTGACAGCCCCAGGTGGCACAAGATGGGTCAGGAGTGTAGGACAGAGAATTGGCACTACAGAACCAAAGAAAGGAAAGTGTCAGCTGGGACCACAGCTGGTCTCAAAGGACAGGTGGGCTCTGCTTAAGTGAGAACACACGGGGTGTCTGCAGGCTGGGCTGACCAGAATGGCCAGAGCAGGGCATCTGTGCGGGGACAAAGATGATGACACAGGAGATCAGATGGACAGGCAGGTGGAGCGGGCTCTAGAGGGCCTCGAATGCCAAGTTAACTCTGAAACACACACACATGTAACAACATGCATATCACGCGCATTTGCTTAGTTGGGAGAAGTTCCCACAACAGGCTGCTGCTGGTTCATTTCCAATGCCACCTGCGCTCAGCAGCACCACCAGGAGCCGCCACCAGGGGGCACAGATGGGGCCGTGGAGCAGGCCTCTAGTTTCCAACCAGCCCTGCACAACTTCTCTTCTGGCGGCATCACTCCTGCCCCGTCTGGGAGCTGTGCCTCCCTGAGCTGTCCCCACGCCAAGTGGCTCTGGTGGGAGTAACCAAAAACAGCAGAGGGGACGCGTCTTACCCGACGTCCGCCTCCTGGGGGCTCCAGCTCGGACAAGGTCCTCACACCCTCGGAGAAACTCATCGACTGGCGCCCGGAGCCCCAGGGACACGACAGGCTGGATGCTCCTCTCTCAAAGGACCCAGACTTCTGCGCCAACTGGATGAGCCCAAGGCTTGCCCAAAGCCACTGTGTTTGTTCCCAAACCTGATCGTCCCAGTTGAACTTGTTCAATAATTACACAAATTGATCAGACCTTATGTAGACTGGTGGACAGGGTAAAGAATACAGAATGGTCGCTCCTATTCAAAAAGAAAAGCAGGAAATCCAAGTCGAATACTGCGCAGTCTATAAAGCTGAAGATACTCCTTGTTGAATTAGGTGTGAGCGGGACACTTCTAAAAGATTGAGGGGTGTCATAACAATCTAGATGAATTTGCTCTCCGGCGACTTTGCGAGCAACCTGAGGACCTCCCTAGAAAGACAGACTGCCACTAAAAATAAAAGGGCTGAGCTTCATATCCAGAGACTGATGAACGGATGTTATTTCCCTCTGTTTCCCACTACGATAAAATGTATGGAACAGGTCTGCTTTTTCTGTGTCCTGCGTTTTCGGAGTCAGGTTTTTGGATAAACTGATTCCAATCAAATTGTGTAGGTTAAAAGGTTAAAATGTTTCTACTATACATGCCCCTGGCTACTGGGTTAGTTTCATATTTGGACCCTGGGGAGACTCTAGATGACATAAGGAGGATGCCGTGTGTGGCCTGTGGCTCTGCTCTCCGCCCCACCTCACCTCCACCCTCCCTCCACCCCTAGCAGGAGAGCAGGGCAGGCAGCCAGAGTTCCAGGGACCTGCCGCCATCCTTAGAATGGGATCTTGAGCCCCCCCGGCTGCTCCAACCCTGGACACACCAGTTACACGAACCAATCAATTCACTCTTTAATTTAAGTTGGGTTGGGTTTGTCACCTGTTCCTGCAAGACCCCAGACTCCTTCAGGATGCTACTGGCTGGTCCTGAAAGAGGAGGCCAGATGCCAGAGGGGAGCAAAGTACAGAAGTGGGACCAGACAGCAGAGAGAAGACTGTTGGGTGAATTATCGTGGGTGGGGCTTCACTCTGTGAGATCTTCCCAGGAGGAGCTGCCTGCAGCCCCTGGGCTGGGGCCAGAGGGTGGCCCTGTTTTAAGGACAGCCACTGGGCAGGATGGAGACGACAGATACAGCCGACTGGGCAGTGAGGAAGGAAGAGTCCCCCGTGTCAGGCCCCAAGCCCTGATGGGGAGACTCCGGGAGACACGCAGTCTGTGTTCCGGCTGCTCAGGGCATTCTCTTTGCTGAGAGGCCAGAAAGAAAGCAGATGACAGGAACTTTTTGCCTTTCGTAGGTCAACTCCTTTTGGAGTGGTGAAAATGTTTTGGAACTAGATAGAGTGGAAATGACTAGTTCTGATAGTTGATAGATCTAGTCTTGGAACTAGATAGAGTTGATGGTTACACGACATAGTGAATGTACTTTAGAAACGGAACTGTACGCTTTAAAACTGCCCTCAGCATTGTCTCTACGCCTCAGCTGGTTCTGACGATAACGACAGGGCCCCTGCTCTTACAGGCTTGGCCTGCTCTTCTGCTGTGCCCTCCGGGCGCCCTCTTTCCCATTAAGCACGTCTGTTTACCATCAGTGCTCTAGAGAACGCCCCAAGGACACCCCGTGTCCTTTCTCACAGTATCCAGATGGCGGCGTTTTTCTGATAGCTCCCTGTGAACTAGATTTCCTCGCAGTGTTTCGAGCACTGGGCTTGATACCAACCTTTCCCCTAAACCTCTGCTTCCCCCAAAGGCAAGGGGCGTGTCTGACTCCATGCAGGGCTCCCTTTTAGGCCCTTTTCACTCTGAGATCCCAGGACTGCAGAGCTGCGGACAGCCCTGGACAGTGTCCCGTGGCTGGCACCCTCTGCTCCGTGGGCTGACGGGTCCATGGAACCCTATGGGAGACCTCTGGGACGAGGGTCACTCAAGGCCACAGAAGCCTGTGCTGTTTCCACCAGAGCAACTCCTTGTTTATCTAGCTTTTTTTTCACATGTGAATATTCTTTTTTATTATTTTTTAAATAAATGGTTGCACGCCAAACACATTGTTCTGCACTTTGCTTTTCCCTTCACTTAAAAATGTATCTTGGAAGACCTTCTACTCACTGTGTCCCTTTTTTTTTTTTTTAGGTGAGGAAGATTAGCCCTGAGCTAACATCTGTTGCCAATCTTCCTCTTTTTGCCTGAGTAAGACTGTTGTTGCTGAGCTAAACTCTATGACAAACTTCCTCTATTTTGAATGTGGTATGCTGTCTCAGCATGACTTGATGAGTGGTGCGTAGGTCCACACACAGGATCCTAAGCCAAGAACCCCGGGCCACAGAAGTGGAGCGTGTGAACTTAACCACTATGCCACTGTACCAGCCCCTCCCTTTTTTTTACTGTGCTAAATGTATATAACACAAAATTTGCCACTTTAACCGTTTTATTATTAGGAAAAAATTTGTTGTGGTAAAATATACATAACATAAAAGTTACCATTTTAACCGTTTTTAAATGTGTGGTGTGTGGCATTAAGCACCTTCACAATGTTGTGCAACCATCACCACCATCTGCTTCCAAAACTGTTTCATCACCACAAGCAGAATTAAGCAACGACTCCTCATTCTCTACTCCCTGCAGTCCTGGTATCCTCAAATCTCCTTTGTCTCTATGAATATGCTTAATCTAGATATTTCATAGGAATAGAATCATACAATATGTGGCCTTTCATGTCCGGTTTCTCTCTCTCACTGTAATGTTTTCAAGATTCATCTGTGTGGTAGCATGTATCGGCACTTCATTATTTTTAGGGCTGCATAATATTTCACTGAATGTACAGACCACATTTTGTTTATTCATCCATCACTTGATGGACACTTGGGTCCTTTCCATTTTTTGGCTGTTGTGAATAATGCTGCTATGAACATGGGTGTACAAGTCCCTGTTTGAGTTTCTATTTTCAATTCTTTTGGGTCTATACCTCTGAGTGGAATTGCTGAGTCATGTGATAATTCTCTGTTTAACCTTTCGAAGAGCTTCTAAACTATCTTCCACAGCGGCCCCACTTTACATTCCACCAGCAATGCACAAGGCTTCCAATTTCTCCACGTCCTCCCCAACATTTGTTATTTTCAGATTTTTTGATAATACCCATCCTAGTCAGTGTGAAGTGGTATCTCATTGTGGTTTTGATTTGCATTTCCCTCCTGACTAATGATGTTGAGCATGTTTCCATACGATTGTCAGCCATTTGCATACCTTCTTTGGAGAAAGGTCTGTTCAAGTCTTTTGCCCATTTTTAGTGGGGTTTCTCGTCCTTTTGTTGTTGGTTTTTAGAAAGTTTATGTGTTGTAACTACTGGATTTCTGAGAAATATTGCATCTAAAAATAGGATTTCACTGGTAAATGAAGGTTGGGCCTCTTCATCTCACATACGGAGAAACAGAGGCCAGAGAGGTTGAGGCTGCACAGCAGCAAACAGAAGCAGCCTGACAGACTGCCTCACCTCCTCTGACCTCACCCAGCACCTGGAGTGGCATCAACCAGGTACAGGCTCTGTGAGGTGACAAGACCTCATGTCAACAAGTCCTGGTTCCTGCTGTGCTCTGTGGATTTCAGCCTGGGAGGGAGACAGTGTGGGTGGAAGGCATTCCAGGCCAGAAGAACAGTGTGTGCAAAGACAAATCGTGTCCTTCGAGACTTGCCTCAAGAGCCATTTCCTGTGGGGAAATGAGGCTGGGAGGGCTTGGATGTTTGGGGGCATGGTGAGGAGCCCCCCCCGTAGTAGAGGGAGAGAGAAAGTGGTGGCAAATGAGGCTAGATTCTCAAGGATTTGAATGCCAGTAAGTTGGGATTTTCAGCTTAGAGACCCCAAGTCACACATTCAAATGCCTTCCTTGGACCACCGGTATTATACATGTGGAGAACAGTGGGTGTTAAACAATAGGGAGTGGAGGGGGCTTGTGGCTAACCAGAGAGTTGCCAGCCCTGCCTAGAGGGAGAACGAAAGCCTGCTGGTTTGTGACCCCTACTACAAAAAGTGGGGGCCCATGACGATAGTTAAGCCAAGGACGGTGGTGATCATGTGTCTTCCAAGGTTCTGTCATTTCCACAGCTCCAGCAAATTCCTCCTCCATGGTGGGATTAGACCCAAAGTAACAATGCTGCTCGCTGCTTCCTCTGCCCATTGGGCCGTCGAACTGTAGGGAATTTATCAGATGCTCAGTTTGGGGCAGACTGAGATCTCAGCGGATGTCTCAATAGGCAAAGTCAGCCTCCATCTTCACGTCACCCCCTCCTCCTCAGCTTTCTCCCTCCTGCCACCTGGCGTGGTCTAAAGTGCGCTGGATTGGAACCCGGCTCGGCCGCTTCCAGCATGGCAGACCTTGGGAAAGGAACTCAGCTTCTCCGCAGCACCACTTTTCTCACCTGGAAAAGAGGAGCCACCATTGTCCCCGTCCCCTTCACAGGGCTGCGTAAGGAGTAAAGGGATAACGAAAGCTCGGCTCCAGGCCCCCAGCAGACTCTCCAGAGACGGGGCGCCACTTCTGCTTTCCCAGCTCTAGGGCCCTGCCCTCCGCCCAAGGCTCTCTTTCGCAGCACGCCACACCTCGCTGGCTGCGGCCCCTTTAAGACGGCCTTGGATGACCCAGTTTCAAAGCCGAGGGCGACCCTCGAGCTGCCACCTCTATGGTAAGTCGTCACTTCCGGCCGGAAGTGCGTGTGCCGAGCGGCGTGGGCTCCGGGGTCGGAAGCGGGCTGAGGCACATGTTCCGTAGTGTCCCAGGCGAACGTGATCCGCGGCTGATCGCTGACCCCCGGCGCGCGGGGTGACGCGACCCTTCGGCTGCCATGGCCCGGCCTGCGGCGTCCGGCCGCGCCCCGGGGCGGCAGCGAAGCTCCGCGGGGGGCGGGAGGCCCCTCGGCCGGGCCGGGGACCTCGGCCTGCTCCGCCACAGCGGCCAGCCTGGACGGGGAGGCCGAGGGAGCTCGGTCCGGACGCCGGCCCCAGGGTCGGGGTGCGGGGTGGAGGGAGGCGCCGGGGCCCCGCTGGGGAGCCAGCGCGGGTGTCGGGGTGCGCACACCTCGAGCGAGGCTTGTCCTCTCGGAGCGCGTTGTGTTACCCCCTTTTCCGCAGGGATTCCGCCGAAAATGAGCGCTGTGCAGCCCCCGGCGACTGGAGCAGGCGTGCGACCGTGATCTCCTGCTCCTCGGCGATGCCACCCTTCCGATGGACCTCGGTTTGCGGATCCAGGTATGTCAGGCATGGGGACTGTCCTGGGGCCGCTGGTCTGGAGAACGGCTCCTGTGTTGTTGAACCTGCCCGGCGGCGGGTGCAGCCCTGTACCAGGCAGCCCGACCCTGACCTACAGCAAGTTCCCAGGAGGACTGTTTCCTGGGCTCTGAATTTGCAGTAACAGGTGTGAACATTCTAGCAGCATTGTGATGATCATGTATGATACTGCAAACAGGACCTTTGCTCAAAGGCGAGAACCGCCGCGGTCAGTGCCAGACAGCAGGTGGTTTTCAAAAACCTGTAGACGGTGATGACTTAGTAAATATTTGTTGGTACTTAGGCCAGGCACTGTGCTAAGTGTTAGAGATACAGAGATGAACAAAACAGCCATGGCCCCTGTTCTCAGGGAGTTTCAGCCCAGTTGGGGAGACAAGATTAAGCAGTCTCACTAAAGAGGGTGTAATTTAAGCTGAGGTGAATACCCTGAAAGAAAGCACAGCCTTACAAGGACGTGTATGACAAGGAGCCTGATGGAGCTTGGAAGGCTTTCCTGAGGGTGGGATCCTTGAGCTGGCCTCTGAAGGATGAGTAGAAGTTCAGTGGGAAGACCAGGTGGCAGCATGTGCAAAGGCCCAGGGGCTTAGCAAGTGTGGCTAGTGGAGGAGCTGAAAGAAGGCCATTGTAGCCCAGAAAGCAAGGTGGAGAATGATGTAGAACGAAACTGAAAAGGTGGGGTAGGGCCAGACCGTACAGGGCCTGTAGCTCATGTGGGTATTTTGGTCTTTCCTAAGAATATGGGAGGTCATTACAGGTTTTAAACAAGCGGATGATGTACTGAAACCTGGAGTTTCGAAAGAATACTATGTCCAGGACAGTTGTCCAATAGAACTTTCTGCTATGGTGGTCTGTGTCTGCACTGTCCAGTATAGCACCCACCAGCTACATGTGGTTATAGAGCACTTGTAGTGTGGTTGGTGCGATGGACGACCTGGATTTTTTATTTTAATTTAAATGTAAATAGCCACATGTGGCTAGTGGCTGCCGTGTTGGACAGCGCAGATCTAGAAGGTATTGGAGGGAGCAGTGACACCTTTATTGGAATCATGGCACACAGATGCCCCTTTAATCTCCTGCGCCCCGTCCCTTCCTGGGTAGAGGCTGAGGTGGAGTCTGCTTGGGGAGCAGCCCGCGGCAATTGCTCCTGAGGCCCTCGCACGTGCACAGTGGCTGCTTGGGGACACGTCGCTTTTATCTTGAGCCTGTGGCTCGTGGCGCAGGAGTTTCTGCCTGCCGTGGTCAGAACATCGTGTCTGCTTCAGAGGGCGTGTCGAGGACAGTGGGCCTGGTGTGGAGGGGCTCAGGCTCTAGAGAGGTGGGTGTCAGTCAGTGCCGTGGGACACAGAAAGGGGCGCTTTCACTGGCACTCAGCAGGATGTGACCCTGTGCAGAAGTAGACGCTGTGTCCACCCATGAGACAAGACAAAAGGCAGGAAGCCTGAAGGGCTTGAGGGGAAGTGGGGGGCTCGCGAGTTGGGGCGAAACTGGGGAAAACGAGGCTGGAAGAAGGGAGGAAGAAGGTAAGGATAGCTGGGTGGGTGTTGGGTTATGGGGGCTTTCTCAGCGTTCAGGGGTATTGCAGCTGCGTTACAGGCAGGTTTCTGAGGACGGCCCAGGTGCAGCCTGCAGAGAGAGGCGTAGGAAATCACTGTGACGGCCTTGAGGTAGGAGGCGAGCAGCCTCTGGAGCCCGGAGCCTCGGAAGGAGGAGGGGCTGATAGACGTGGGTCACTCCAGGGCCCCTGCCACCTCGTACTCTGGGTGGAAGGTAGGTATTAGACTCTGGAGGGTATTTTAAGGTGCTGACAGATTTAACTTCTCTGAATGTGCGGACTTGCTCAAGCAGAATAAAAGCTGATGAAGTGTACTTTCTTTGCAGGTGAGTTTACTGGAAGATTTGTGTGCGTGCTGGATCACAATCTGCTCATTTCTTTTCTGCCTGCTTCTGTAGACCTGAAAAGTAATTGTTCTGGCTGAGGACCTTCCATGTTTCTTTGGTTTAACCATGTAATTTTTGAACGTTGAGCTGCTCAAGACCCAGTTTTGTATAAATAAAAGGGGCGAGACCCCAAGGAGACTTCTCATAAACTTTCTGGTTTCCCTGCCCGGGGACCCCGTGTCGCATCTGCTTGAGATACACAGTTGCCGGCGCTGTTCCCAACTAAAGAGTGACTTCTAGAGCCACTCACAATTCTCTATAGGAAGTGTGAGCATTGGGGACACTGCTCATCCTTGACGAGCTGAACTCTCAAGAAGCGGGGGCACGTGGAGGGAGATGACCATTGTTTTGGTAATCTGATGGGACGGGAGTGGCTACTATCGTTAAGGGTGGTGTTCACCTCGTTCAGAAGAAGGGCCACTTCGCTTTGGATAGAATTTGCCAGAAAGTGACCACTGACTTCAGAACTGGTCATCAGTAGCTGCCAGGCACTGCCCGTCTCTGCTTCCTCATGTGCATTGCTGACCCCATGCCGAGCTCTTCCTCCAGCCTGCGATCCTAGGTCCACGCTTCACCGAGGACACTGCCAGCCTTCTGCAGGGATGGACAGCTTCTTGCTTCAGGGGCTTGGTGCTGTGGCTCTTGAGGTCACACACCCTTTGGGCTGCCAGTGCCGTGTGCCTTTAACTTAGTCCTTTGGCACCCCTGACCCAGGGGTTCTCAGTGGGTGCAGAACCACCTCTCCCCCAGGACGCAAACACATCTGGGGGGACATTGTTGTCACAGAGATTCGGGCACTGCTGGCACTGGGGGGTGGGACCCTCCTTCATAGCAGAGAATTCCCCCAAGTCTCCCACTCTTCAGCGTTTAGCTGTCTATTGAGTGAACAAAGGAAAAACCACCCTGTGTTTTCTTCTGTCAGTGTGGTGGTGGTTCTGCATGTAGTGGAAACATGACTATTTCACGCTCTCTTCGTCTTGTGGTTAGAGCTTTACAGATGAATACAGTTTTTATGTGGTGAAGAAAGGTTATCTTAGACTTCGGGTCTAGCCGGCCCATCAAGGTACCTGCTTGTCCTTGCTTGTATCTATGTTTTTGGACATCTGTAGGGAACCTGTTGACTTAACGGCCTCTCGTCCAACCCTTGTCTTGTTCAGCTCAACTCTTGGGAGGGTCAGCCCCGCTAGCGCCTGCCAAAACCAAGAATGTAACGTCGATACTGCAGGGTAAACCGTGGGTGGGTTTATAACAGACCAGTTATCTAAAAGAGCTACAGGTGCAGAGGGCAGGCCCGGCCCCGTGGGCAGTTCAGGAGCAGAGCAGCACTTCAGCTCAAGGGACCAGGAAACAGCCACCTCGCCACCGCTGGGTAGAAGGACCCAAATTCTCCACGCCTGGAAGAGTTAGCGCACAGCTGCTGCGTGGCCCCTGTTGGTGCTTCAGTCTCTTCAGTTAAGTGGGGACGGTGATGACGCCGACTGCTGCCGGATGGGTGCTGTGAGGGATCGGGCGAAGCACTCAGGAGCACTTCAGACCCGTTAGCTGTGCCATCGTTATTGTCATTTACATCTTTCCTCGGATTTTCAGAGCATTCTCACGGTATTTCCAGCTGTAAACCTGTAGGGTGCTGCGGTGTGGGGAAGTTCTGGGGTCTTAAGGAGTGGTGTTCACAACAGGAAGGTGCCTGCCTGCTCCCAAGGCAAGTGGAAAAGCCTCAGAGCCGAGGTGGGGCTTACTATGGGCTGTTGGTTTTTTACTGTTTAGTTTTCACATTTGGGCCACTCACAAAAGCATACAACTCACTGTAGTTAGCTACACTCTCCTCCACCTGCTTGTTGTTAGAGGGAGAAAGTGTAATAACTGCGTAAATTCGCATGCTGTGTCAAGATCTACACTGGGAAAAATAGTACATATCGGTATTTCTGGAACAAACGGTTGGGAGACCCCCATCACTGCTACATTCCTCTGTGTGGTGGTCTTGAGTGCACGTGTCAGCTTCTTCAGTGGCTGTGGCAGGGCCTCGTCTGTCTGTCCTCAGTGTCAGTCTGGTTGAGCAGCTTCATGTCTGTAGACTTGGTGAGGGGTTGGTTCCACCTCTGGTTTGGGGGGTTAATCGGAAGCATTGGATCCTGGGCCCATCTGAGAAGTAACATCTCATTTCTAATGGGAAATGGTGAAGTGGCTGCGGTTCATGTTGGCGGAGCATTTGTGATTGGCAGGTGCCTGCCTCTGCTGCTCGTTTGGCTCTGACATTGACCGAGGAGGGCACTTGAGTGTCCCCAGTGGCTCCATTTGGGCTGATCTGGGACTTCTAAGAGTGGAGGAGCCTTCCGAGAACAGGAACATCAGGATGAGGAAAGGGTGACTATCCTAGCAGAGTGGCGTGGACTGAGAGAGGTGACCTTCCCTGGAAGCCCCCCACACCCCCAGGATGCCTGCGGGTCTTGACGTCCCTGTCCTCTCAGTCTGCTGAAGTGCTGCCCTAATGTGGATTCGTAACACCGAGCCTCCACCCGTCTCTGTGACTGCGCTCCACGAGCACGGCCTTCACTGATTCTCCTGCACTTCGATGTGGTGGCTGGGCACCTTTGTAGGAGATGAGAGGGGAGCCTGGAGCCCAGAGGAGGCGGCTCGTGAGAACATTTCATGTGGCTGATGCCGTACTTAAGTGTGGCTCCTGGAATAATCCGCAGCTGTCTCCTGCTGTCATTCAGTTCCTGCTCCTTGGTGAAGTCGGCCCCGACTGGCCTGGATGGGGTTCTGGTGTCCTGGTCTTTGTCAGAGAACAGACGGATATGTAACATAGGCTGTGGTGTATCATGGATGCGCCTTAGCGTTTACGGTTCTTGTTCCTTGGGATTATGTAAGAGAGGGTTGAAGTGGGCAGGAGTTCAGTCTTTCAAAGAGAGGGTACTTTTAATAGTAGCAATGGATAGCTGCTGGAAATGCTTGGGCTTTAAGAAAGTCTTTTTTTATTTAAGATTTTACTTTTCCTTTTTCTCCCAAAGCCACCCGGTACACAGTTGTATATTTTTAGTTGTGGGTCCTTCTAGTTGTGGCATGTGGGACGCCGCCTCAGCCTGGCTTGAGCAGTGCCATGTCCGTGCCCAGGATCCGAACCAGCGAAACCCTGGAGCACCGAAGCGGAGCACGCAAATTTAACCACTCGGCCACGGGGCTGGCCCCATAAGAAGTTATTTTTCAATGTTAAAAAATTACTGTAGGGACACAAGAGGCCTGTAGCGGAAAATTTACTAAAGATTGAACTAAAGAATCGTTGTAGCGTCAAGATTTTGAACTTCTCTCTTCGTCCACTAGAGGATGCAGTCCTACACCAGACTTTTCTCTTCTGTCACTTGTTACAGTCTTTTTTTGTAATTAAGCCAAGATCTTATTTCACCAGAAAGTTACGCAGAAGGTTGATCTGCATGCTGGGCTGGGCTCTTTCTGAGGAATCTGCCAGGGTGTCGCAGTTGCGTACAGTTCCTGAGAAGTTTTTTCGTGTCAGGACCAGCTGAACCAAACCCAGTCGTAGGACACGGCTGTGCACGCAGTGCTTGGGGGGGGCCACGTTCTAAAGCATCTTTCCATCCAGATTCACTTCAGTGCCGACAGGTGGTTCTACTCAGTGTGACAGATCTTTGGTAAGGAATCCAGTGCAGCCCATACCAGTAGTTGAAGTCCCAGACATGTATTAAGGTTTTGGAAGCATCTCTAGCCGGAACGTAGCTCATACTTGAAAGGTACATATCAAGACTGAACAAAGTTTGTGCTGAGCCAGTGTGGTATAGGTTGCTGATGATTGTTGTTAAAAAAGTGCTGTTGAATTGGGAAAAAAGAACTAGGACTCTGGAGGTGTAATTTTAAGTAGAGTACTGCATGATCTGGTTTGTGAACCTGATAGCTTTCTGATGGCTTAAACACATGTTGAATTGAGGGGTCGTTGCAAATCAGAGACTCCTCCCCGCCCTCCCGAAGCTTCCATTGTGTAGGGGAGACAGGAAAGAAAGCATTAGATAGTGGGATAGCGTGGTGAGTGCTCTGGAAAGAAAGAAAACAACAGGGCTAGGGTGGAGTTTGCGATTTTAGATAGGGTAGTCTGGAGAGGCCCAAAACTAAGGTAAACGCGCATGTCATGTGATGGAAGAGCGTCTGAGGCAGAGGGCACAGCCGGTGCAAAGGAAGCAAGTATGACGGAAAACAAGGGTTTTGAGGAGGCTGGAGGGGCTGAGAGCCAGGCCTTGCAGAGCCTTGGAGGAACATGTGGGGCTGGAGCTTTTACTCTGGGTCAGGAGCTCACATTTTCGTCTTCTCTCATGTTTTCTTTTGTTTTGAGGAAGACGCCGTGAGCTAACATCCAGCATGGCTTGATAAGCAGTGCTAGGTCTGTGCCCGGGATCCAAACCCGTGAACCCCCAGCCACCGAAGCAGAGTGCGCAGAACTTTTAACCACTTGGCCACCAGTCCGGCCCCCTCTCTTCTCTCATGTTTGAGGGACCGTTTTCACCCTAATGAGTTTATGTTAGAAGTATGTGCTTCCTCACTGTTTACAATAGCCAAGACGTGGAAGCAACCTACGTGTCCAGCAACAGACGAATGGATAAAGAAGATGTGGTACATATATACAATGGAATACTACTCAGCTGCAAAACAGAACAAAATCATTCCATTTGCAATAACATGGATGGACCTTGAGGGAATTATGTTGAGTGAAATAAGCCAGCGAGAGAAGGATAATCTGTGTATGACTCCACTCATATGAGGAATTTAAAATTATGGACTAAGAACAGTTTAGTGGATACCAGGGGAAAGGTGGGGTGGGGGGTGGGCACAAAGGGTGAAGTGGGGCACCTACAACATGACTGACAAACATTAATGTACAACTGAAATTTCATAAGATTGTAACCTATCAATAACTCAATTAAAAAAAAAAACAGATGGATGATTGCTTCACTAAATTATACTATAGTGTGAAGCTAAAATTTACCAAAATGTAAATCATGACACAGAAGACTTTTTTTTTATTACAATTCCAAATAAAGAACAGTAAGGATATCAAAAAAAAAGAAAAAAAAGAAGTATGTGCTTCCTCTTCTTATGCTGGCAGATTTGCCCAGTGAGGCGATCCTGGATCCACGCATGGGGAGTG